CGCTAGTTCTGCTATCTTGGCCGTGCCAGCTCTGCTGATCCATATCTTTATTTTTTACTAAATATTGACTGAGATCATTATCTGCAGAAATATGTGTCTTGACACTAGCTTCGCTATTATTGCTTTGCAATGGGACTTCGTCTCTATCAGACTTCGATATGGAGCTTTGTTCCTCGTTTTGTGTATTTTTCTCGTCATCCCCACCAACCACAGATCGAGATATATCCTCCAATTTCAACCGCTTCAGCTCACTAACTTTCAAGGCCAGTTCAACTATCTTAGATTTGAGAGATTCGATTTCGGACCCTTTATTCAATGAGTCCTCCTGGGCTAAAACTAACTTACCTTTTAATGATTTCATCTCATTCCGAAGCGATTTAATCTTCTCTGTTTTTGTAGCATTCTTAGCCCTGGACTCTGCAAGCGAGATATCTTTGCTAGCATTTCCACTCTGTAGTTGCATAACCTCATCAATAAGTTCGAGATCATGGGTGCGTAATTTCTGAATCTCGGTGTTGGCCCCTCCTAGTTTCTGACTCCACTTATTTCTTTCCCGATCCCACCCCCCTCTTTCTCGATCAAAATCTTGCTCTTGCTTAATACATTTATCCCGCAACATACTATTATATTCACGCAATTTAGAAGAGGATTGGAGGATACGATGTATTTCTTTCTCAAGGTTCCGTTCTCCCATCTATGTACATTAGCAATAAATATATATAATAAAAAATTACATTCGATACGAATATCGAGGTACAAGTGTAATAAATATAGAATGAATGTAAGTGTTATCGAACGATCTTTAATGCTATATATTGATGATTAACAGAAAATTTATATATAATCTTTTTTTTCGATCCGCGGATGTAAGATGGCTATTCATATAAACCTTGCACTTCGTTTCTCAATGCTTTTTATCCATTTCGAACAATAAATACCCATCTTTATCATTTTATCCATCTCAAATGTTAAATATCCATCTTTAACATTTTTTATCCATCTAAATTATTCCAAAAATTTCAGACCAATGTATACCCCATTTTTAAAAACATATTATCGTCGAGATGCTCATTATTTATCCCCTGAACAGATCGAAGAAATTAGGGAGCTCAAAGACAAAGTTCCTATGTATAAAGTAGTTGGTGATTATCACATACGTAAAGAGCGTGTTCTTGATATATGGCATAATTGTGA